CTGAGTGCCAGCAATGCTGTTTGAGAACTAGTATCTGGGTTTAATTTCCACTGTCTGTCAGAAGGAAGCTTTGATCAGGCTCTGCATTTTTTCACTTCTCCTAAGTGACTGGAGGCTACTACTGGCCATTACCACTGCCTCTGTGTGATCTCTGGGTTGGCCGTGACATTAGAGGTTTATTTACATTAATTTCCCCTGAATTACCCTGCCCAGTGCTTCTCTCTCTCCTCTCCAGTAATGGAACAGTTAGGGCTAGGTGTTCATCTTTGGAGTAAATGTGTGTCCAGGAAGGTAAGGGATGGGAAATGGGGCGGGGGACCCACACGCATTGCAGAAGGAAGTGCAGCACGAGTAAGTGACTGCAGCTGGCATTTAATGGCTTTTCTTTTCTGCCATCATTTTCCTTTAAGCCCAAAAGAAACTCTTTGTAATATGTGTTAAAATTATGGTTCAGATTTCTGATGATCAAGTTACATAGATTAAAGTAATGGATACCAGACTCCGCATCAATTCAGGTATAAATATGGATGAAATGAATGTACATTACCCACCGTTATAAATCTGTGTGTTCAAGAAAAGACATAAATCTCCCAAAACTTTCCTACCTCAGGGTATGAAGTTTTGTTTTTTGTTTTTGTTGGGTTTTTTTTCAGTGTTTTCGATGAAATTATGATTTGGAGTAAGTTGCTTGTTTTGCAGAAACCTCTGGCTTTTTTCTTTCTCACAAGAAAGGGTAGAGTATATTATTTATAATGGTGAGTCATTAAAATGCTCCAGGAAGTCATCACTGCAGAGGGGGTCGGAGAGAGAAGGGGTTATACGGCATTCCAGATGTGCATGTGTGGAGAAGGGCCATGCATTTGGAGAAATTTATAGCACCTGGCTCCATTGTAAAGGATTCTCAGCCTGGGGGCGTTTCTGTTCTCTTCCCCTCCCCTCTGCCCTATCAACACTGTACATGCAGGAGCTCAAAGGTGTCAGCGCGTGATGGACACATGGCCACAGGATGTTGTGGTCTGGAAGGGAAGACTAGGTTCTCACTCCTGCTAAGCCACAGGGCCGATGAAAGTGTTTGAGCTCCTTGCAGCCTGGGGCCCTCACAGGAGCAAGAATAAGTCTCATGGGAAGGAAAAAGAAAAAAGCCCAACGCTGTGCAGAAATGCATCTCTCAGCTATGCTGCTCAGCAGCTGCACATTTGGTCACCACCTCAGTCTACCTCTTCGAGTTTCACAGTCTGTAAAATGAAGGTACTAATGCACATTCCGTAAGGCTGGTGTGAGGACTAAGTGAGATTGTGAGTGTGAAAGCATTGAGCGCAATTCCTTTCTCTTCTCGCTTAGACTCCCAACTTGTAGGCTAAATGACTCACGACCCCATTGTTCCAAATGGAATCGCATCATGGACTCTCAGCCATTCTCCAGCTTCCCTCATCTGAGGCCGCTGCTGATCCCACATGGAGCTCAGCTACTTCTAAAGTCCTGAGTGGTAAATAAAAACTTAACAAGGAGGTCCACTTTCCTCCTCTGCAGCATCCACATTAGCAAACGATTACTTTGTCCTCAGGCAGCAAAAGGGAAAATGGGAAAAGCAGGGCATGCCCCTTCCCTGTAAGGACCAACCTGAAAATGACCTACATCCCTTTTCTACACATTCCACTGGTCAGAACTTAGTCATGTGGCCCACCTAATCATGAAGGGGACTGGGAAAAATATTCTTTATCTGGGGTAGCCATGGACCCAGCTCAATTCCCATACCATGGAGGAAAGGGAGATGGACATTGTGGGGTAATTGGCTATCTCCTCTAGAGGGGGTTACAGGGAGTTATGCCAGAAACTCAAGTACAACCGTATGCTTGAAGCGAGAGATTTGGGTTCTGTTGGGCTGGAGAAAGGAAGATTGTTATTCAATGGATCACGAGAGGTGTTTATGTGTAATAATCAGATTAATTAGGATGAAGCTATATGGCTCACTTTGTTGATGTGTAATTTCCAGAAGCCAAGGTAACTGAGCCTGTCCTATTATGGGTCAAGTAAACTTTACTTTCCTCTGCAGCCACTGTCGGTCAGTCATCATTTACCTGCCCAATTCCCTACATACTTTTTACCTTTGTATTCCCAGTGCATATCCCATGGTCTGCCACAAAGCTATTGACTCCATTGTTGAATGAATGAATGAATGAATGAATGAGCGAGTTAGAGAGCATGAGAGTGAAGTAAAAGACAGGTAGAGACTGGGCAACAGGATGGTGGTGATGTCAGTGATCACTGTCATAAATAAAACCAAATCATCTCCATTCTCCTGAGCTACCACTTCCCTTACTCTTAAGAGATGGCTTTGCTTCTCTTTTATATAGAGAAAAGGAAAAGCAAAAATTCCTCAGTGTCTACAGTGGTTCAGCAAACTTACCAGCCTGCAGGTCCATCCTCGCTTTCTTCCCTTCTATTAAATTTTATCTCATCTACCGCCATTGTTTCTATGCATATGTAACCTACACACATATGATGTCCAAACATATCTCAAGCATACTCCTCTCTCTAGAGAGTACAGGACCAACTGCCTCCAGGACATCTTCATTCAGATGTATTCTAGAGGCCAATAATGTCTAAAACACTATAATACCTAGAACATTTCATGTCTAAAATTAGATTCAGGCTCCACCACTCATTGCTCTTGTGCCTTGTGTATCATTTGTAAAGTGAAGGTAAGAAAACTTTGAGATTATAATGGGATCAAATGAATTGATATATAAGAATGTGATATGTACACTCTGAGATACATGTGAAGGATGGCAATGACTTTCTATCAACCAACAAGGCTTTACTGAGTACATGCAGTATATCTAGCATGATTCTGGATGTTCTAGTGATTATAGAATAGAAAAATCCGTGGCTCCTGTCCCAAGGACCTTACAGATTGGCTAGCAAAGGGAAAAATGAAATAACGAAGCACTAAACTGTGATTTGGGCAACAGAGCTTGCAAGAATGGAAAGCCAGTGGCATCACCAGTGGAGTTCTAGAGGGGGGCCTCTATTTCCTCCAGCCTCATACATCCTCCTCTTAAAGATATTCCTCTGTGCATGGCACAGAAGATACAGCCCTAGTTATCACATATGACCTCTCACCCACAGCCACGATCATTTGAACTGGTATCACCTGAGCTGGGCTGGGCTGATCAGAATGTCTCTCCCAGGGAGATGTTACCTAGGCAGTGTTGAGAAGTGATAATGTAGTGATGGTGCCAGATTTAATGACATGGGGACGTGTAATGAAAGGTTATGGGAAAGGTTACGGGTACCAAACCCCCAAAATCTGGCAGTGAGAAAGAGAATGGAGCTGAAGGGAGAATGGAGCAGCTAAGCAGGGAGAGGTGGAGATGAGAGACCATGTGGTCCCAGGGAGAGCAGTGGAGAAGTGGAGAAGTAAAGCTAGAAGTTTGTTCTCTTGAGATCTAGCTGGGTTTCCTGCAATAATATTTACTTGCAACTCTAAGTCCTGTGCTCACTGTAGTATCACACAGTACCATATCACATTTATACTTGTTTTTAAAATTATACGAAGATATTTCAACATTATGCTCCTTAGTCATTTACCAATGTAGGTTTAAACTGCAATTTGATTCAACATCACCAGAATATATGGGGATTTGATGTTTTTCTCCTTCCAGTTTCTAATGGAAATTACTTCCTTTCATGCATCCAGTGCACATTAATTACTTTAATAATAATAATAATAGTACTAGTGTCTTGCTTTTATCGTGGTTTCCTGTTTACAAAGAGATTTCACACACATTATCTCATGTGAGTCTCACAATAACTCCATATGGCTCAGAGAGGGTAAGTGAATTATTGAGTTACACAACAGGATTGGGACATAAATTGAGATCTCCTGACTCTTAATCCAGTTCTAAGGCAGAACAAAAATATGGAAGTTCAAACAGTGAGTTCTCCAACCTATGCCTGAGATCGCTATGTATGCTGATACCTCTTGGAACATTGCAAAGACCCTTGTCATTCCTGTTTGCCTTTATATTCAAATTCCAAATTTCCAGTCGAGGAGAAAACCCATATTTAGCTCAGTTTACCAACATTTTCTGATATCTTATTATGTGCTAGCTCTGAGCTAGGCCCTACTTTTCGTGAACAGACTTACTGGGTCTGAAACATCTGTATTAGAGCAGGTAGACAATCAAGCCTGACCTGTTACAACATCAGGTGTAACTTCCAAGAGGTCTTAGTGATAGAGGTTGTATTACCCAGAGACAGGAGTCAGCTGTTTTGTAAAAACTTCCCCACTATTCAGCTCTGACATCTGGCTCCCAGGACACCTGATCTGGAGGATGCTGAAAGCAAAGTAGCATGGTAGCTCAAGGCTTCTGCTACTGAGAGCAAGAGCTTTCACGTGATCTCATAAAACTTGCAAAAGCTGCTAGATCATTCCTGGGACAGCCATTCACTCTCTTACCTATTCTGAGAGGAGGAAGAAGTCCAGCTTTAGTCTCCCTTTTCCAAAAGGTGAGCTGAAGGAATGCTCCCAAATATTCCTCAATCTCCTGGGTTGAAGAATGTTTTTTCAGTGTACTCCGAGGACAGGCTTGGGCTAATGGAATGCCTGCCAGGCTGTCCCCACTCTCCCAGTGCTCTGCCTCTCCTAGCAGTTTCCCCTGCCCCTATTCCCTTGCAAATACACAGAATGAGGGCAGGTTATAGAAAAGAAAAGGGATGCACTATGGTAGTTATACTGCAAGGTGAGCTTAATGAACAACAGGATACTATACTGCCATTCGTACCCCCATTAGTATATCCCCCTTCCTCCCCAAAATATAAAGAGAAATATTTAGATACCAAGTCTCTGATTAAAGATTCATGAATCAAGGCCACCAAAGCTTAGGTTTTAATTCAATTCCCTGACAGATTATTGGCCTCCTTTTCAAGAAATTAGTTGGTCATGGGAACAATAGCTGAGACCTCTCAATTTCTAAGACATGGAAAGAGGAACTTACAGGCATGGAATCACCCTTCCGACCTCTTTCATGTGTGACGATCTCAGAGCACATTCCAGAGCTGGCATACCCCAACATGTGAGCCATCTCTTCTCAGGAGGACCTCCAAGCCTCCTCTTCGTGGACCCTCCAGCCAAGGCTGATCTGCTCAGAAATACCTGCTCTTGAGAGTTCCAGGACTCCAGAGGGGAAGCACTGTAGGGGGCCTGGGGCCTGCTACTGAGCTACATTTTTAGTGAGAGCAGAGGTCAGTCTTGCCTAGGGAGTGTCTCAAATCCAACCCCTTCCTAAGTCAAGCTTCTCGGGAAGTGCCTTATACAGCTGTACTCTGCGACCCCAGGTGGACTCTAATCTAATTTAATTGGCTCTCAAGGCTCCTTCTCTTATACTTGGAGGTCTAAAATACTGACAACACCTCCTCAACCCCAAAGAATCAGAAGCCAGTGACCCTTCTATTAGTAGGAGCCATGAGACCTCAGGGAATCTGACACTGCCCTGAGGAAGGTAAGATGAGGTGTGTGCTGGCCCCATCCCAGGAAGGACAATGGAGATCATAGCAAGAGACAAGTGTGAGCCATCCTCCGAAAGACACTGGGTGACTGTCAGTGAGTTCAATGTGGCCAAGGCCTGTAATTCAAGGAACAGAGAATAAATCTTCCAAAGGACCTATCTATTTGCCCCATTTTGTAATTTAAAATACAAAAGGTGACCTAGAAAACCCATCTTTCATGCTGTGTTATCCAAAAGGAATCTTATTTTCCTCTGTGGCTCTTTCACTATTTCCAAAATGCATTAGCTCTACTATCATTTAAAGAATTTGTGGAATGTGCATGTCTCTGGGCTACACACTGGAAAGGCAGAGGTGAACACACTCAGTTTGCTATTGCAGTTGGCTTAGTAGTCAGGGGTGTGGGAAGGCTTTCTCTGGGGGCTAGCACTGCACAGGAGTCCCAGGAGAGGTCACAGCCAAGAACAATGGTTTAGAGGAGTAATGTCATTTAGATCGCTAAAGGAATTAGTAACTGACCTTTATATAGTCTTTTAAGTGCCAGGCATTGTTCTAAGTACCTAATATGAACTAACTCATTTAATCTTCATAGTAACCCCATGAGGTATATGATTATCTTCACTTCATAGCTGAAGAAACCAAGGCTCAGAGATGTCAAGTAGTTTGTCCAAGGCCACAAGAGCAGCATATCTCAGATTCCTCCCCAGACAATCTGGTACTGCAGAGCACACACCCTCCGTGGCCTCTAATACAATGACAAAAATCTCAGACGGTTGGAGCCAGAACATGAGGTGGGAAGCAGAGAATGAGCAGTGAGGTATGAAAGAGGGAGCAGGGACTTCGCACACCACACTGAGTTTTTATTTCTCAAACGAGGTGCAGATATTGCCAGGGGTATGTGATGAAAGGTCAGGGGATGTGATAAGCCAACATTTTGAACGTATCAATTTAAGAAAAAAGAGTCTTAAGTCTGTGCTCCAAGATTAGTTTGATGATCCATCACACAAAAGTAACAACAAACAACGGCTTGCTGCTACACGTTTCACTTTATTAGATGTTTTGTTTGTTATACAGAGTTTACAAAACAAAATATGCTTATTTCTATTTTCTATCAGTGAATTCTGGATAATGCAAAAGTATAGAAAATTCTTGTGTGTATGTGTATATGATCTGGGGCTTATTATTTCTATTTATTTTAAAGTGGAATTATCTTGAATATACAAATATTAATCAGTGGTTAAAAACAGAGAGTTTTAAGCATTGACTTGAAAGTGGTAAAACTCTGCAAAATGAGCAAAATTTAGACATAACCTGAAATCACTGACCAACAAAAAATTCGTGGCCTTCCCTCACTATTTAATTCACAGGAGGAAAATGGTAGCACTAACCAACCACAATCAAAGAACAAATATTTTATTTCAGAAGCTAGCTTAAAAAGTGTGTGATTAAATGCTTCTTGAATATATACCTTGTTGTTGTGTAATCTTTTGTTTCAAAGGGCTTAAACTTTGGTATCTCTTGTGTAAGAAAGCTCTGAACCATAAATGTATAAATACATAGTTTTGGCATTAATTTTTTAATACTGCAAATTTTGTAGGACAATTATCTGAACTTTTTAAACCCAAAAGCACAATTTAAATGGGATTGATATGATGAACACATCAAGCAAACAAAATATGCTTAACCTTTTTTTAGTTCAATATCAAAAATCATCTCAAAAAGGGAAATGCAAGTAATGGGGGAAAAAAAGACATGACCAAATCTAGTTAAAGTCAGCAAGAGATAGCCATGCTGAGAAAGGGTGCCATTATTGAAGGATAACATCACACACTCCTTTTTAATGTGCTGAGAAATATATTTTTGAACAACTGGTTGAAAAACTGAAGTTAATTTGATTCTATAATGTTGAACTACATAAAAACACTGATGCCAGTTTTGTAGTCACTTTATTTCTCTTTCTTATACTATTTTCAGATTGAAAGTATCTGGATTAATATGTTATTTGCCAAGTAGTGACACAAAATAAACATTTTCAAAATGATATATAAATTTAAAAACAAGCTTGTATACATGTAAAAGAAAACACACACACATACACATATGATTTGTGTGCTCAGATGTGAAGATGGCTCACATCTAGAACAATATGCACCTTTGAATGTTAGTCACCTTTGTATTAGTGTCCAAGGGTGTGTCACTCAAAAAAAATGTATCTCTTGAATTTCTCAGAATGTTCAATGGGATGGAAAACTGATCAATTTTATTTAATAAAGTGGTGTGACTATTCACCTTTTAAGATAAAGCTGAAATGAAATGAGATGTGATTTGAAACTTATTCTATCTGCAAAATGTGTATGTGTTTAACCAGAGAAATAACTGAGTTGTAATTTTCTAATGAACAACTAAACAGCTCTTTTTATCATAGAGGGAGAGAGAAACATAACAAAAACTGGGAACGTGGATAATGCGAAGTATTTAATTGTTCTCCTCGGTGACTAAAAAGTGGCCCACAAATTTTGTTCTCTGCAGGAACTTCAATGAACTATACTATGAACAAATAAAAGAGAATTGAATATTTTATTGTAACAAAATGATGTCTGACTGAATGATGAGAATTGATTATGAGAATTCTGTTTTTTGAGGTCCTTAGTCCACTTACATGTCATGAAATTTACAGCAATAATAGGAAAACGAAGAACACTATCAGTTATGTTTCTCTAGAGTGCCCATATACTTTAACCAAATCGACAATGAAAGTGAGTCCCTTACATCTCTGATCCCATACCACATAGCTGTATGTAACTGCTTCTGTCTTCATGACTATTTCTCTGGATGAGTTTGAAAAGAATGCTGTAGGCAAATGGGAATCACTGAAGGAGTGTAGACTAGAGAGAAATCTTACGAGATTTGATTCTAGAAGGACCTCTCACTCTTACTGCAGAGAAGCTGATGGAAAGAGACAGCATAAAAATTGAGACGTGGTTTCAACTGATGTAGTCAGGTGTCCAGGCAAGAAGTAATGAGAATTGGAGCTCAGACTCTGACTGTGATCAGAGAATATATGAAAGAGATGAAGAAGCTTTACCACGTCAGGTCATAAGTGGCTTTGTTCAACCATCTAGACTCTTTCTAACCTGGCTCTATATAACTTGATGTCTAATCTACTCATAATCAATGGCCTTACTGTTTCATTCAGTTGAAACTAAAGGCTCCAGTTCCAAATTTCTGTTTGAGAGGAGCTGAAATGACAAAGAATTCGCACTCCATTTACCTGAGGCCAGAAGATGGTTCACCAGACACAAACATGGCAATGTAAGCCCAGTTCCAAGTAGTTGGGTATTTAGAAAACGAGAGCATCACACATTTTCTTTAATAAGCACCAGTATATGAAATAGAAGTTGAGTTCTAAGCATGGTAGAAGTGGAAGAGGGAAAGTGAAAATGAAGTAAATTAACATTTTTTAAAAGGTGGCAATGTGGTAGTCACTGTGCACATCTGCGGCTATGATGTTCCCCCAGGAGTAGGAACAACTCTTCCTGTTTCATAGATGGAGTGATGTAAATTTCCCATGGCCATGTGCCTGTTAACATAGGATTCAAGATTCCAAACAGATCTATATGCCTCTAAAACACATGCTTGTCCTGGCCCCTGTGTGAAGCTGTTTGACCTAGCATGCAAGGATGACTGGCCTTGGGGACCACCCCTCTTGGAATAACATTTTGCTTCCTGGCAGGAAAACAGAAAACCCCCAATATATTCTATAACTAGCCTCTTTCTGGAACAAGTAGGTCTTCCTCAAGTTCTTTGCATGATTAAATTTTATCCCTACAGGCCCCGAATTAGGTCACTCATATCTGTGAGTTCCAGTTTCACTTCACCTATTTAATTAACAAACTTTGATCCAGTGCCTTCCATAGGTCAAGCCTTAGGCCATGCTACAGGATGTATAAAGGTTGACCCTGCCCACAAGGAGCTCTCAGCATAGAGGAGATGAGATAAGGGTATAAATAATCATAATGCAAGGCAAACATAGATAAATATCATATTAAAGATACATTTGGACCGATATGGAAATTTTAGAAGAGATCATCCAAGTAAAATTTTACAGATCAGAAAGCATTTGGACTGGGCCAGAAGCTACACTGAAGTAAACATGTGGAATCAGTATAAGGTGTCTCAGGCAGGAGAAAAGTATCAACAGGGGCCCAGAGGCCGGTAATTAGGAGCATGGGCAGAGAACGGCAAGAAGCAGTGAAGGAATGATGAATGAAGCCCTGTCCAAAGGCAGTGAGGAGAGGGTGCTGGATGTTTTTCCCATTCTGACACTGACATTTGAGAATTTGATTGGATTCCTGGCTATTCTCGGGAGCGGCTATGGCAATCTTCGAGGCTGGTGCAACGCTGACTGCTTCTATCTCTGTGCAGTCTTTTTTCTTTTGATGAGTCCCTGGATGTATGAAATCCACCTCCTCTCCTGATACTGTTATCAAACCTCATAGTTGCATTCAAAATGGGGTCAAAAAAGAAGAGAAGAAAAGGGCAATTGATTCGTATGTTTCAGTCATTTCCTTGGGAGCATGCTGAGCTTTTACTCTGGGGTGACTGCGAAAGAGACCCCACCTGTGATTAGATCTGTCAGGCAGTGGCTGTGTTACACTAGGTACCTGGGGAAATAAAACCACGGGCAATTGCCAATGTCTGCGTGCCTGGAGAGCTGTCTGCGTGCAGTACAATAATGTGCTAGTTTGTGTGCATGTGTACAGGAGCCAGTTGGCTAGGACTTGGCAGGGGGATTCTAGATTTGAATCAGGGTTGGATAGATGATCTCTAAGGCCCTTCCTCAAATCTTAGATTATAAGACTGTATATCCGCACAGAGGCACACGATGAAATGATGCCTAAGGGTATGTAGTGTCGACACATATTTCTCTGTGTTACCTCTCATCGTGACTATATCCATTCCAAGTACCATGCAGCTACCAGAGTGGCATTTCTAAAATGTATATCTGACCACGTCACCTT